ATCTATTTGTATTGATTTCTCTTTGACACTGAGCAGACTTTTGGATCTCCAAGTTTGTATTTGTATTTATTAGTTTGTCAAACATGTACAAGATGACAGATATAAATATGGATGTAAAAGAAAGAAATGAATACAAATAGATGGGGACAGTAAGACAGGGATGTTAGGCACGCTGGTGCGCTTATGCATGCCCCCTTTTTTAATTTTAATTTTTTAGTTGCTAAGTTCATTTTAATTGAGCTCACTGCTATACTAGCTTATTAATGCATTTTATCTAAGCCATTTTGAGTCATTTCAAGATAGAAAAGCTGAAAAACATGATATAATAACTGCTAAACTTCATTTCAGAATATGAGTCAAAAAAGGTCCCATCAGTTCACTCTGGATCTGCAAGACATAGAATAAGATACAAAGAATGAACTTTTAAATTAATTGCCTTGAAATTAATGGTAAGAAAAACAGTATTCCTTAACTATTTTGGGAAGGAATACAGAGTTCAGGAATGGAATTTGCTGGCATGCTTCATGGAGTGTCTTCATTTTTTCCACACATCTCTGTAACCTTGATCTGTGATCTCTATTTTATTCAATAGTGAAACAGTATCTAATAGCAAAACAGAGCAGTATTTGTTTATGGAAACTATTTCCTTTCTGCAGTGTCATTGTTAAAATGAAAATGAACAGCAACGTTTAAGGAAAAAGTAATTTGGAGATGAAGGTATGCAGCTACTTAGAGGTAATATTGAGTTGTTTATTGGAAACTTTTCTTCAGCTACTAGAATCAGCATCTTCTTGGTATGGTATGAATAAACTCAGGCATACCTTAAAAGTCTCTGGCAATTCTACTTTTACTGGACAATTACAAAATGATGTGTGCGCCTTTCAATAATGCTAGAATGAAATCAAGGTAGCCTCCCTATTAACCCTTATTCTCATTTATACTATCTGAGACTGACTACCAGCTCCTCCAAGATGGCTTACAGAGAAACTCGAGACCTAAGATGGAGGGCAAAAGAAGAACAGGATGACAGAGAATGAGGTGGCTGGATGGAGACACTGAAGCAGTAGGCGTGAGCTTAAATGGACTCCAGAGGATGGTAGAGGACAGGAAGGTTGTATTAGCTCAGTGCAAATTGAAAATTACACTACTCTTATTTACCAAGAAATACTGCTGGTTGGGGGAATCAGCCTATTTGTGCCCCAAGAGTAATATATTTACAATCCATTACCCTTATCACTTCTCTTATGTTTTAAGAAATCATTTGTCTTTCCTTCCATAAACTTGCACAACATAAAGGACATGGAAAAATTAGTATTTATATGTAACCACACTGTTTGAACTCTGGATTTTTCCCAACTGAAATAGAGTAATGCAGTTTTACTTCTTTGACCTCCCTTGCTTATTGGCTGACCAATAACATTTGCTTCATTATGTTTTATCCTTACGCTCATAGGTTTTTTTTAAGTGTAAAGCTTCACTAAAGGATAAGCCATTGTTCATACGAAAAAGTATATAATGGCTCATTACGTGCTAAAGAAACATCTAGATGCGATTTTTCTGCTAGAAAATGCACAATTGTTTTCCAATGCAGGGTTTTATGGAAAAAAGTTCCTCTGGATGTTGAAAACTAGTATTGGTTTCATCATTTTAATTATTTAATGAAAGGTCATTTCATTTTCCTGACTAGGATCTACATTTTAGAAAGGTTTTTAATAGGATTTCACTGGCTCCAGGAAGGAAATTATTTCTTCCTTTTTCATAACAAGGCCAGTCCCCCCAAAATTGGGAGGGTAAAGTAATATGTTTATAAGTTTTATCAAGACCCTGAGGAAAAGAGGTCCATCTCTGTTCAAGGGCATTGGGAATAGAATGGATGTGTCATTTAAGTGGAAACACATGTCTCAAGTTTCAATTACTTTGCAAACTTAACAACTGGCTCTAAAAGAAGTATTGATGAAAGAAGATTATTAATCTTGTCCTGAGTCTCAAAAAATTATATAATTGCAAGACTTTAATGATTGGAATTTACAACGAATCTCTAAATTGAAAAGCAGTAAGGAAAGTATAGAACAAAATTTAATCCACTATTCTGAGTATTGCTTGGAATTTACCTTAATCATAAATAAACAATGCTAAGAAACTATGGTTATTAGATCTGGGCTGCAAAAATCCATTCAACCACTAGGTGGCACAAGCAGATGTTTCTATATTGTATACTGCCATCTATTGGAATCTATATTAGTGCAGCCAAAGCTTAGTACCCTGCAAGACACCAATGTGACATCTAATGCAAAAATTCAAACATAGGGACAGTAGAAAAAAAAACTAAAGCACAGGTAATTATGAAGAAACCAGAAAAAATAATTATATATAGGTATAAAAAGTATTGCAAAGCACATTTAAAGAGTAAAATTAGAACAAAGTATTTGCTAAATATTATTCTACAAGAATAACAGCACTTTAATGCCTACTAAGTGCTAAAATAAACATGAGGAGAGTGTGAAACAAATGAAAGCAAAAGGCAGAAAAATAGTTTAAAATTAACAGAGTCCAGAAACAAGTAAATGGAAGCATTTCATTTATTGGAAAAATGATAAAATGTGCTATGAAATATAAATATATACAGTACTTCAACATATAGAAATATGAGAAAACAAAATAATATACCAATAAAACAGTGTGTGAGTGTGTGTATATCCTTTCATTTATCTATCCTTTCATCCATCTATCTATCCATCTCATACTGAATACTC